TTAGCATATACATTAAAAAAACCCAAAAAAACCCCAAACCCAAACATCTCCTCCAAGCTCCGCTCCTGTTCAAGCCCTGGGAACACAATGGTGCTGTTCACAATTCCTACATTGTCTCCACCTCGGTATATATTTTATAAATTATATAAAATCTTGGAGACCCCCATCCTGTGAAATGTTTGTCTCCCACCTGTGGATGCTACTTACAGAGCCTGCCAGGCACAGCTTGTGGGGTGAAAGGTGGCAGAGTGATCCAAAAATCCCTGGGGCCCCAGGTCAGAGACACGATTGTGTCCAGCTGCATGCAGATCACAAGTCAGCCCCACACAGAATGCAACCACTCCTCAAAAGCACAGGCTGTGGTGGAAGATAATCCCTCACACACAAAAAAAAAAAAAAAAAAATTATATGTCAACAATGAGGGATGCCCCAGGTAATTTAAGTGTTCTAGAGGCATGGTTAAGTGAAGGTGCAGAGCAACACCCTTCAAAAATAAATAAAATGCTTATTTAAGGAGCTTCCTGTTAATACTCATTTGTGGAATATAGTTCAAACCACAATGGAATTTTGTTTCATTTCTGATTCCATTTCTGTTCCTAAGCAATACAAAAAGCATACCAAGGGAAAAGTTACAAAGCAAATAAAAAGGTCTAGATTAGAGTAATTGAATACAGAAATTTCAGTGCAGGCAAAGAAAGATTAAAAAAAAAAAAAAAAAAACCAAATTCAGTTCTCAAGCAATTGATTCTGCCCTGAAGCTGTGCTCCAGCATATGGAAAGCCCCACAAAACAGAGTCACTCAGTCACACCTAGGACAGACTGAGACATGACTTTAAAACAGATTTTTTTTTTTTTTTTTTAACAGCAGACCCAGGGTGTTTGGAACAGAAAGAATGCAGGAAGCTTTATTGTTATATAGTGTATATATATTTTTTTTTACCTATTCCTTCAATATAAAGAGTTGAGAAAAATTACTGTGAAATTCAAAGAAATACACACATAAGAGCTTCCTGTGCCTACCAAAAGTTACCCCCTACTTACCACTCTTGGAACAAAATCCATGCTGGTCTTCAAGGTCTATTCTTCCCACTGTGCTTGCCTATTCTGCTTTCCTGTGTTTCCAGGCTCTGGAGGAAGAGCCCCACGAGTGTGCTCATCCCTGCTACGAACAGTTTGATTAGAAGGCAGAGTAAATGTGGGAAGGCAAAGGGCAATAAAACTCTGGAAGCAGTGCTCAGTCACAGCACAGTCCTGCACTGCAGATGTCTTCAGCCATCATTCTAGCAAACAGATTCCCTCCTCCCTCTGGCCCACAAGAGCAAATGTCTCACTAAGAGATGGTAGTTAATCACCAGATATGAAATTTATCTCTCTTGATAAGGAGATTTGGAGCATTATGTAATACAGACATGTTTTGCAGACAGGCAAACAACTGGGTGACTACACCATGACACTGGAAATTGTTCAGTAAGATCCTTCATGCCTACTGTCTTTCCACTGTAAAAAATACATCTACAACCCAAAATTTACATAGAATTTTGGTTAAATATTTCTTCATCCCTAAAGAACTTAAGATTTCAACTACCATAAAAAAGTCAAACATGCTACTATTTCTTAAGGGTAAACATAGTGCTGAAGGCTGCTCAGAAATGTTATCTTGTTAAATATCTTCCAATGTTTAAACACTTTGATAGTGTCTGGGAATTGTACCCACACCTGAGCCTTACAAACCACATTCCTCAAAGCTTACTCAGATCTATTAATAGCAACTCTCACCTTCCATAATGGCTTAGATGGAAAACAGAAACAAGGAGACCCCTGGATCTAATTGCACTTGGGGAATAATTTATATTAAAGATACACAGAAAAATGTCTAGTGAAAGTCTAACCATTGATGTCACAGAAACACAGAATGGCTTGGGTTGAAAGGGACCTAAAAGTTCATCCAGTTCCATCCCACCTGCCACGGGCAGAGGCAGTTCCCACTGGATCAGGCAACTCAAAGCCCCACCCAACATGGCCTTCAACACTTCCAGGAATGGGTCATTCACAGTTTCTCTGGCAATCTGCTCCAGTACCTCACCAAGTTTATGGTAAAGAATTTCTTCCGAATATTCAATCTAAATCAACCCTCTTTCAGATTAAAGGCATTACCCCTATCATTGTATTTTCTTGTTAAAAGTCCCCCTCCAGCTTTCCTGTAGCCCCCTTTAGGTACTGAAGTGTGCTACAAAGCCCCCCCAGAGCCTTCTCCAGGCTGAGCAACCCCAGCCCTCTCAGCCTGCCCTCATATCAGAGGTGATCCAGCCCCCTGATTATCTTTGTGGTCCCCTCTGAACTCCAGCAGGTTCACTTTCTTTCCATGCTGGGGGCCCCAGAGCTGGATGCAGCACTGCAGGTGGGATCTCACCAGAGCAGAAGGGCAAAATCCCCTCCCTGGAGCTGCTGCCCCCACTGCTGATGGGGCCCAGGACACATTTGGCTTTGTGGGATGCAAGGGCACATGGCCAGGTCATACATGGCCAGGTCATCATCCACCAACATCCTCAAGTTCTCCTCAGGGCTGCTGTCAGTATTATTGAGGCCTTTTACATCCAGGAAGTTGGGAAGCAAAGGAAAGAGAATGCATGGAGAGAGTGCTCTCAGAGATGATGGAGTTTTCCTGATTATATACCTAATGAAGGCAATAAGGGTTCATTATGATCACTTGTTCTGGCTTCCCCTACATAGAGCCCATAATATTTTCCCATACTAAGTCTTGCTAGAAAGAAACCTGCCTTTAGAAAAACCATCCCTGATTTAGTTTTTTAGTAATGAAAACATCTAAGAACTTATTAGTCTAATGAATGTTTTTATTTTAAAACCTTCCCTCCCTGCCTAGTCCCAAGATGCTCAAATTTCCAGCACTGGCTGTTCTTAAACCCTTTTTTTCTTCAGTAAGGAAGCCATTCCTCACCCCAACCTTTTTAGGCAAGAATCCAAACATTTCTTCCTTTTGGATCCACCAAAAAACAACATATGCTCCAAGCATCTCTTCTGCAGGGGTCTTTAAAAGGCTTAATGGGCTGCACCTTGGACAAATCTCCCAGCTGAAGTGCACACAGCAAAACTGTAACACCTGTGTACTTCAGGAGTAATTGTCCCACCTGCTCTATCATCTCAGATTCACTGAAAGGGCTATTTCCCTGGCAGTGACATTAAATGTTTCCTGCCAAGGCTTTCCAAAAATCACTAACTCTGGGGTGCAGAATCCCTTACTGTTCCCTTGCTGTGACTCCCCACTTGGAATACTGAAATGAGTGGTGGGAGCTGCATTCAGTAGCTATCAAGTATCCAAAACTACTGTGTAACTGGTTCTCAGCCTCCATAATTCATTATTTTTCTTTTTGTAGCCATAAAATAAAAATGAAGTTATACATTATTGCATTTAAGAATAAGTATCCAAAACTACTGCGTAACTGGTTCTCAGCCTCTGCAATTTATTATTTTCTTTGTATAGCCATAAAATAAAATTGAAGTTATACATTATTGTGTTTAAGAATAAGTGAATTTACTTTTTAAAGGAAGAAAAATATAGGCAGCACACGGCAAGAGCCGATCTTCACCTGGACACCCAGAGCCCCTCACCTGCTCAGCGGCGCAGAGAACAACTGCGTGCCCGTTCCTGATCATCCCTCCCACGGCACAACAACCCCAGACGGCAAGACCTGCCTCCTGAGGTTTTCACATTGTAGAAAGCATTGCTAAAAAATAAAACCCCAACCAAATATGCAGGCATGCCCTATCAGGTTATTAGCACCGAAGTACCCGGTCCCCGCAGGAGGAGCCCGACCAGCGCAGCCCCAGCGGGAGGGTCCCCATCGGTACGTGCCGCAGGCTCCCTCCTCGGGCTCTGCTCTCGGAGTAAAGAAAAGGGAAAAAAAGAGAACTAAACAAAAATACCCCCCTCAAACCAGTTGCTAATAAGAATGAAGGACTCACCGGGAACCTCGCAGGAGAGGAAAGTCACGTACGAGCAGCACCATCGCTGAGGGCTGCTGCTGCCAACTCGGCAGCGGGGCTGGCAGGTGGAGTCCCTGTGCCGCGGGCTCGGCTCCTGGCTCGGAACCCGCACCGAGCGCGGACAGCCCCGCACTCCGGCGGGCCACAGCCGGCTCGCAGCTACCCCGCGGGTGCAGCCCTGCCACGGCCACCCTGTCTCCCTTCCCCGCCCGCCGCACGGCTCCTCCCGCAGCCCGGGGCTCCGGGGCTGCCTCCAGCCCAGCCGGAGCCGCCTCCGCCTCGTCCCCCCGCACCTCTCCCGCTGCCGATCCCGCCCCGCGGCCGCGCTCCCGCAGCGCCTCTCTCCGGCTGGGAGCAGGGCCGGGATGGGGGAGCCGGGGCTGGGATGCGGGAGCCCGGCCGGGATGCGGGAGCCGGGGCCGCCGTCCCGACCTGCCCGGAGCGGGGCGGAGCAGCCGGAGTGGAGCCGGGCGGGAGCGCCTCACAAGCGCACCTCTCCTCCCTTGTCCTCCTTCTCCTTTGTCCTCCCTTCTCTTACTTCTCCCCTCTCCTCCCCTCTCCTCCTTCTCCCCTCTCCTCCTTCCCCTCTCCCTTCCCGCTCCCCTTCACCGCCCTCCCCGGGTGCCACCCCCGTCCCATGCAGGGGGGACAGTGCAGACCCCGGTCACGTCCATCCATCTTTCCCGGGTTGGGAAGGGCGCGGATCCCTTCAGTATCTCCCAGTTTTCAGGGGAGGTTTGGTAGTGTGGAACTGGCAACTCAAAGGGTAATTCTGTGATTTCTCAGAAAGGATTTGGAAAGGGAAAAAACCACGGTAAATTTACTTTATGGTTTTGTGGTTTTTCAACCTTCAACAATAGGTGTATCTGCACTGGGTGAGGGAAGCATCCACAAGGTAAAATTGTATTTCAGAATATAATAAAAGGCACTTGTCATAGCTGTCCTCCTTACACCCATAGGCAGCACTTATTAAGCTTTATGACCATCACTTCCAATGGTTCAAGAGAGCTGGATTTATCAAACAGCTACAAGTATTACAAAATATTACAAAATTCAAAAGCAACAGAGTGAAAACTGCATCTCGATTCATCCAGATGAATTGAGTGATTCATTCGCCCTCAGGTACCAGAAGAGCTCATATAGCAGGCACCTAAGAAAGATAAGGAAACCAATTTAGCACTTACATGCACTTCCTTACAAGTTAAAATACTATTCTGCAGCTGGTAGAATAAACAAAGATATGCCACATGAAAATAGTTGAGCCTTTCTTATTCATAGCTGTGAAATTATATCACTTTCAAAAAATTCTGATGCATACAACCAGAATCTCCTGCTCGGCTTTCACATAAAAAATTTAGCATGAAATCTGCTGTTTATGTACAACAGCAATGTAATGTTACTCATTACCCTCAAACTATTTTTTAAAAAAATTGCTGGGTTTGTATTACTTCAAATAATGCAAGTGTTGCAAAAAAATTATTATTGGGAAGTACAATTTTTACTTGGCTAGTATATAAACACAGCACCTTTGAAGGATAATTTGAGTTTGCTACATGTTATACTCACAGCATTGTTTTTTGACTTGTTCAGACAAAGCTATTGAAGGGACTTGCTCTAAATTAAATGCTCAGGTACATCCTCTGCCTGCAATTACTAGAATAACACATTGCTCTCTATAACAGTGTGAATCATTATCTAAAAAGCACCCAAGTGAATATATTCTGCAATGCATGATTGAATTGAAAGTATTAAAACAACCACTCCAGATTCACGTGGGGTTTTTTACAGTTTCATTTTATAAATGTAGTTTGGGGGGCTGGAGAAAGGAAGGGTTGGCAGCTGTTTGCACACCCAGAGCTCAGGTACAGCATTACCAACCAGACATCCAAGTACAAGGAGAATTTCTGAGGAACATCACAGAACTTTTGTGTTTCTCTTAGGACAGAAAGCAGCCACTCATAGAAACTGGAGACTCCATAGAATTTAGGTTGCACTGCCCATACCAGCTCATATTTATTAATCACCCTTTGTGATCCATAACAGAACACATGAACCAAGGGATGTGTAAATCAGGATTACAGAAATCTGTGGCCTGTTTAGAACAAAAATAAAATGTTCCTGTTGCTATTTTTTGGTAACTCCAATCTCCATAAACAACACTTGCACTGCTGTACAGAATTAGCCTGCTATGGTCCCAGGCTGCATCTTTATTGAGGATGAATTGCAGCACTCGTGGCCCTTTTCCAGAGTACTGTGACAACTCTCTTGTCCTCTGGGACAGAAGTTTTGCAGTCAGTTTTCTTCTCTGGTTACAGAACTGCTAATTCCATGCACCAGAAATCAAGGAACTTCAGCATTTATTGATAGGCTGGTTCACACAGCCACAAATTCTTCCAAATGGGAAGAACCTGTGCAAATTATACAGAGTTCAGTCCAATAACATTTATGAACAAAACCTAGTTTGCTTTCATTTCATGTAACATTGAGTGCTCTGCAAGCTTTATTTCTCTCCCCCTTAATCTACTCTATCAGTAAATATCAGAAAAGCAGGCTATTGATGCAATTTTATAAACTTAAAGGTTTGGAGGAAGAGATCATGTGCATAAAATAGAGATTTTTGATAAACACCTATAGCTGTTAACAGTGAGAGCTACTCTGGAACAGCTATTTACATTTTTCTACTGGATAATACATGTCCTAGGAGCAGAATTTGGAAACAAAATTTAAAAAAAAGAAAAAAACCCTTTGTGGAGGATACAGTTCTCATCGTCCAGTTGAGCACCCTGGGCTATTTTCCAAAAGTGTAATTGCAGTCATCATGGAGAGAGGAGTGCTCATTTTGCCAACTCTGTGCTGAAGGGGTTGTGCTATCACTTCCTGGAGGTATTCATAAAAAATAGAGACCTCAGAAGTACTTTCTAGCAGTCAAAAAATTAAGGAAGATATGTCAATAAAAGTGTCCTCTTTCTGTGTTTTGGTTGGTTGTTTTTTTTTTTTTTGGTTTTTGGTTTTTTCCAGTATTTTGAGATCTTGTATGTTTTGCATTTTAAATTAAGGGCTTTTTGGCATTTCTGTGAAAAAAGATCTCTGATAAAATTTTAATGTAGCCTGTGATACTGATGTGCTGCTTTGCACTTCCAGCAAAAGGGGAAAAACCTCAAATTTATGTTTGGAAGAAATGCCTGGTTTGATGCACTAATTAATAAAAAGGCAAGATAATATTTCAAAAAGAAATACAATGCTTCAGGAGCAATACCAACATGCTGCTTCAAACTATTCATCAGTTCACTCAGAGCTCCTTCTTGACAAAAGCCAATTTAATTTAACCAATGTTATTATGCCTGCTGAGTTAATTTTACTTAAAAATACAATTAATTTCATTTGAGACTGTTTCCTTCACAATTCCTTCTTGGTGAGTGTGTGACATAAAAGGTTTGTTGGAATTTGACATAGCCCCAACAATCTTCTTTTCAGTGTACATCATGAATCTTCATGTGATCAGCACAACTGAGTGGAATTGTGATCCAGACCCACCTGCTTTTCTTAGGGCTTGGATTTTGTCTTTGTAACAATGGCACTGGGCTGCAAGTCAGAGATTCTTGTCCCTGAGCTTCCTTGACCTACTGTTGTTACTTAGGTGACATGAAGAAGTTTTCTTATTGCAAAGTCAAGCTTCCCTCTGAGAGAAAAGTGGCATTTTCCAAGCTTCATTACAGTTATTCACTGTCACCTCAGCCCTCTCTTCATCTCCATGCTAAATAACCATTGTCAAAACCAAGATGCAGGAAATATTATACAAGAAGAATGAAGCCTCTTGTACAAGAGGGCAAATCTTTGCCAAGGCTTTCCTTAATGTTAGTTGCTACACCAACAGAAAAATTACATGTCACAGACTTAGAAATGAAAAAGGGAGAACTGGTGACATTAGCTCTTCTGAGACAAGGCCGTTCCTGTTTCAGCCACTGAAAGGATTTAGAAAAGTAGGTGACAAGCAGGTATTTACAAAAAGCTTTTCAGAGTAACTTCAGCATCTCCTGTTCCTTTTAAAGGAGAAGTTAAAAGCAGACACAGAGAGATATCAAATGCAGCAACACATTTGTACTTTCCTTTCTCACATCATAAAATGAGGAATCTATTTACTTTCTCCTGCTTTTCTTTAGTACATTTAAAAGAAAAAGAATAAGAGAAGACACTAATTAGTGCCTCACTGTGCTGTATGAAGCCAGTATTTGTGTTACTGCCTAGAATGGACTCATGCAAGTTAAGGGAATGCTCTTACAAACCCCATTACTGTGTGCACAATTTATTTAGACAATTATTTTGGTGTCAGCTATGTCATTTTTTGCACAAGAAAGAGCTGTGCAAAGTGAGTCAGAGCTGAGCTGTAGAATGAAGGGCTGCATAAAGAAGGTTCAGTTAATATCCAAGTACCTGGTGTTCCATGATGAAACATATTTCTCCAGGCAACACTGAAAAAAACAGTGAAAGAACTTGAACATTTATGATGCACCTGCAAAGCATAGACTGGTACCCAAACATTTAATTTCATCCTAAATGTACCAGAGTACATTTTTAAAATTACCCTTTTACTTCAAAATAGCTAGCTACAATTTTACCAATTAACAAATTAATCAGTAAAATAATTGTGTTTTTCATAAATACTTTATTGCAAATAATTGTAATGGCCCCTTCAAACTTCAGAAATATTTAATGCAACCAGTTGATTTTGTATATATAAAACTTGTAAGGTTCATCAAGAACATAGTTCAAGACACTTAAATGTTAGATCAGTTCAAAAGATCTAGGACTTTTTAGAAGATGCAGAGGCAAAAAAAAAGCCCAGAACACCCCTAAAATGCCACACAATAGAGAAGGAAGAGAAACAGTCTTCTCTTAGCTCCCTAATTATTTTTTTTAACACATAATCTTAACATTTTTGCTGGACCCATGAAGAGTTATGGCATTTCTTCTAAGAAATCCTCCCTAAAAGTCTGCAAGATTACTACAGTTACTTTGCTGAAAACGCAGACACAGACCCTTGGAGCCTGTCAATAATACATGGATTGTAAACATTTCTGGAGATTCAGGCAAAACTCTTCATCTTCCTCTGTTTTCTGCCACTGAACTACTCTAAAGCCAAGATATTTCACCAATGTCTGCATCATCATGACTCACTGCAATACTTTGCAGAAAATGAGTCTTTAACAGAGTTTTATTGAATTAACATGGTGTACCAAATCTTTGATCCCCAAATTTTTCTTTCTATGGAATTACCCTGCCGCAAGCAAAGGTACTTGTTAACAGCAGCAACAAACATTTAAGACAGGCTTTATTCATCAATGCTTCTCATTCTGGTCAGAAACTGAAAGGACATTTTAGCTCAAATAAATTAGTTCAACTTGTCCTTGACAAGAAACCCTGCTTAGGAACAGAGAAGCTGCATTCTGCATTTAAAACAGGGTTTGGAAAAATAACTAGGGTGACAAATTCACATCTGCACAGCAAAAAGTACTTCCATTTATTTTATACAGTAATTCTTCACCATTTAGAAAGCTCAGTGAAATGGAAAAAGGCTCTAATTTGTTTTTATTTCATTTGCATGATGTTTTGCTAAATGCACTTTTCACAGTAGTACTCTTATGAGGTGATTATTGCTAAGAGAAAAGCTGTGAACTAAAAGGGGCTCTGAGTAACCAGATCTAGTTGCAGGTGTCTCTGTCCCCAACAGGGGGTTGGATGTGAATGGTCTTCAAGGTCCCTTCCCAACCAAAACCATTCCATAATTCTGTGATTCTATCATCTTGAATGAAGTTCTTCTTCAACATGGTTTAAGTGACTTATAAATACAACCCAAATGTTGCCTTGAACACTTGCAGGAGATGCTAGTTACCCATGGAAGTCTCTGTCACTCCCCTCCTCAGCTGGACAGGGAGAGAAAATACAACAAAAGGTTCCTGGGTTGAGTTGAGGACAGGGGTAGATCACTCACCAGTTGCTGTCACAGGCAAAACAGCCTCCAACTGGGGAAATTAATTTATTTCCAAACAAATCAGAGTAGGGCAATGAGAAATAAAACCAGATCTTAAAAATATCTTTCTCCCATTGATCCCTTTTACCGAGGCTTAAATTCACTCTGTAATTTTTCTATCT